CAAAAGTCTTCTAGACTTAAAAACCAAATTCAGTAAAGTAGCTGAATACAAGGTCAACACACAAAAATCAATAGCTTTCCTCTACACAAACAACAGACTCACTGAGAGAGAAATAGGGCAAACAATTCCTTTCACAATAGCATCTAAAAAACTGAAAGACCTAGGAATCAACCTAACAAAAGAAATCAAAGACCTGTTCTCTGAAAACTGTAGCACTCTGAAAAGAGAGATTGAAGATGATATCAGAAAATGGAAAGACATCCTACCCTCCTGGGTAGGAAGAATCAACATAGTGAAAATGGCCATACTTCCAAAGCTGCTATATAGATGTAATGCAATCCGAATTGAATTCCAATGAAATTCCAGCAGCACACTTCATGGAGCTTGAAAAACCAATGCAAAAATTCATTTGGAACAAGAAGAGACCTAGAATACAATAGCAAAAGCAATTCTAGGCAACAAAGACATGGCACGGGGTATCACAATCCCCAATTTGAAACTGTACTACAACCTACTATGATAAAAACAGTGTGGTATTGGCAAAGAAACAGACCTGAGGATCAGTGGAACACATTAGAAAATGCAGAAACAACTCTAGACACACTCAACTACCTAATCTTTGACAAAGGTGACAAACACCCTCACTAGAGGAAAGATAGCCTTTTTAATAAATAGTGCTGAAAAAATTGGGTTTCAACTTGCCGAAGACTAAAAGTGGACCAATATCTCTCACTGTGCACTAAACTAAAGTCAAAATGGATTAAAGATCTAAATATTAAAACAGAAATGCTACACTGGCTGGAAATGAGGTTAGGTAGAACTCTTGAAGAAATTGGTGCAGGAAAAGATTTTATGAACAAAATGTCAGTTGCCTGTGAACTAGCACAAACAATCAACAAGTGGGATCTCTTCTTATTAAAAAGCTTCTGGGGCTGGGGATTTAGCTCAGTGGTTGCACTGCCTGCTGCACAAGCCCAAGGACCCGAGTTTAATCCCCTGTTCAAAAAAAAAAAATCTGCACAGCAAGAGAACCTACCAACAGTATGAAGAGATAACCCATAATGTGGGAAAAAATTTTCACCTGCTGTTCCTCACACAACAATCTACTGTCTAGAATATATAAAGAACTTTAAAAATTCAGACCTCCCAAATTTAATGATCCAATACAAAATTGGGTTTCTGAAATGAACAGACTCATTTCTCAGACAAAGAAGTAGAAATAGCAAATAAACATGAGAAAATGTTCAACGTCACTGCTCCTTCAAGAGATGCAAATGAAAGCAATGCTGAGATTTCACCTCACTCCAGAAAGATTAGCTGCTATCATGAAATAAACCAATAACAAATACTGGTGGAGCTGTGGGGAAAGAAGAACCCTGCTCCACTGCTGATGGGAATGTAAACTGGTGCAACCACTGTGTAATCACTATGAAGATACCTCAAAGAACTAGGACTGGAAGTCTCATTTGACCTAGTTATTCCCCTGCTTGGTATCTTCCCAAATGAATTAAAAGAATCATACCACAGTGATATATGTGCACTCATGTTCATAGCAACACAATTTGTAATAGCTAAAACTTGGAAGCAGTCCAACTGCCCATCAACTGGAGACTGGCTAAAAAAAATGCATTTTTAAAATAAAATGGAGTACTACTTGGCCATAAAAAATGAGAAATTGGAGACCTTTATAGCTAAATGGACCAACATTGAGGCCATACTCTTAAGTGAAATAAATAGGGCACACATGTGTAAATATTCAATAGTTTCTCTGTTGTGAGAAACTGAAAGTGTAAATAAGGACTAAAAGGTATAACAGATAATGTGAAATAGGAAGAAAAGCGGCAAAGGGGAAGGGAAAGTAGGAGGTGTGGGGGAAAGGAAAGAAGGGAATGGAATTAATATGAGACAATGAAAAAATGGAAACAGTTTTTGTAAATAGACATTGTAAATAGAGTGGCTGAAGGGAGGGCAGGGGAATTGGGGAAAAATAAGAACCAAGAGAAATTATGTAAAGGTGCAAATTTCCAATGATGAATTGTCATTATACTGTATACCTAAAATGTACCAATAAAATTAATAAAAAAAGAAATGACAATGATCAAAATGCAACATATACCTACCAATCCACTGAAAGAATGTAATTATTGTGTATCACACACATCATACAAATTTTTTAAGGAAATAGTAGATCAGATGAGGGTGAAAGATGTCATGAGGAAGGATACTTAAATGTATATGTTGTTGCACATCTTTGGATATTTGAGATGATAAAAATGATCTAAAATTAATTGTGCTTATAGTTTTACAACTCCGAATATAAAAAATATTGTTTAATCCCATACATTAAATGGGTGAATTGTCTAGTATGGGAATTATACCTCAATAAAACTGTTAAATTTTTCTTTCAATCCATGGACGATAAAACCAGAAAAAATGTTTAAACTTTCAAAAATGATTCTCTGCCAAGCTTAATCATTGTGAAAGGGAAAATAAGTCTTCATACTCAATTAACTTAGTGCACTTACTTTCACAAACTATTCCCAGTGAATATCCCCAATATAGTTGGGGAACTATATCTAGATGGAAATTTCTGGGCAGATTTTCTGACTCCCTGGGTATGGATGGGGCCAAAAATCATCAGTATTGGTTATGACATAGGTGATCCTTTTTTTTTTTATGTAGGTGATCTTAGTGACTTCCAGCCTTGAAATGCTGGGTATGGTAATCCTTCTATCTTGGAACATACTTAAGCCTGTATGATTCCGGAGAGTGCCTCTGGCTACCATATATAATATCTGAATTTGTATCCTTCTGAAATTGGGCAGAAATGCTCCTCCACCTGGAAATCCTCTTGCACTCCCTCTTCCAGAACAGACTCCTCCCTCTTAGCTTTGCCTTCAGTACACCATAGAGCATCCTTGCTTACCTTTGTGGGACTCGGTGTCTTTAGAATTCTGGGAGTTCATCATCAGCTGAAGAAAATCCACTCGGTGCTAGAACAAAGAGAAATTTCAAGGACAGAAGGTCAATTGTGAGGTCCCAAGTAAATCAGGAGTGCAGAGGTCTTTGCCCTCCCACATTCTCACTTTTTCTGGTTTCTGAACACAGACTTCTGGCCAGACAGTGATTTACTTCTTTCCCTATCACACCTCATTGTTCAGGAAAAAGTCTTGGACTCTAGTACCTTCTGTCCTCCTCCCTTAATTCTTAAAGCAATGGTCTATAGATTAATTGACTGCCATTTCTAGAGCTCATTATGAGCTCTGTGATCATCTTCAAATATTCTACACTCCCAGAACACTACAAAATCCTCAGTAACATTCAGAGTATCCATCCTTTCTCCTTCTCCTGCTGACATACTGTGGCTTGCCTTCAGGCCACCTGAAACAAAGGTGGGTTACTTAGCATAAAAGATCTATTCCTAGAATATACTCCTATACATTAGAGACCAAGGGAGAAAATCAAATTTAACACAAACAAAACTCCACCAGTTTCCCTGATAGGGACTTCCATGGGACAATAAGATGCTTCAAATTGAAATAAATCCTTACCAATAAAAGACTGAGGAATTTAGACTATCAGAAATTATACTTTTAAATAGTCATTTTTTTCTTTCATAATTTTAGAGTGGAGAATATGGTAAAGGTATCTTAATACTACTTCTGCCATGACACACTAAATTTTACTCCTATTTTTCAATGTTAAACTTTTTCTCTCTGACTCATTCTCATGCCTACTTCCCCTCTTCCACTTTCTTAGTTGCAGGAAAATGTAAAAACTCTTCTTCTCTAAAACTAGATTTTCTATAAAACAGAGAAGTGCACAAATCATCTGTATACAGACATTATTAAAATGTTAACATCTTCATGTCACTGCCACCATCATCAGCACATTTTACCTTCTGGTTAGGTTCCAGGCGATTTTCTTGCATCTGTTTTACAAATTTTGTGAAAAATTTCAATGAATCCCATGGAAAAATAAAGATACGTAACATCTCATATACTGGAGTGAGGAATGGAAAGAGTACTACACAGAAAAGAAAATACAATCTTTAATGAAAATGCAAAATTTACTTCTTTCAATTATACTTTCCTGAAACAATCAAAACAGTAAAAGTCACCAGTCTCAACCAGGAGCCATTTCCTCTCCGACACAGGCTCCAGGATGTCAGCAAGGACTGAGCAGGGCCTTGTCAAACAGAAGGCCACCAACACAGTGGTCAAGTCAGTGGCCCCTTCTTCACTTTGGAGTGACCAAAGGAGAAGGATTAAATTCCCTAACTTCCTACTGTCTTAACTATTTGAGTAGAGTTTCTTTGGGTAAACCAGACTGTAGTCTGCTGCTTTCATTAATCATGGAGTCCAAGAAAGAGCAACCAGGATGAAACTAATTCACCGTGGAATAAAGCCAGAAATCAAGAAAACAAAAGAACAAAATTCATGAATTTATACAAATTAACTTGTACACTCTGAAATAAACAAAGGGACACAAAAGAACTCAACGAGCAATTAGCAATTCTCTTGAGAGGATTAAAAATGAAGGCAAAACATACCAAATTTGTGAGAGTGTGTGAAAGCAGTAATCAGAGGAAACTTCACAGCAATGAATTTTTAAAATCTCAAATGAATAATCAAACTTTACCCCATAAGTCACTAAAAATAAAAAGAGAAAATGGAACCTAAAATAAGCAGAAGGATGAAAGTAATAAAGACAAACTAGAAACTAATAAAATATAAAAATACAGAAATTCATAAAACAAGAAGCTGGTTCTTGCAAAATATCATCAAACTTGGCAAATCTCTATGTAGACTCACCAAGAAAAAGAGATGACTTAAGTTACTAGTACCAATAATGAAAGAGGGGAATTGCTACTGACATTTAAAATTTTAAGTATCTTCTGAGACAGGTAAAGACATCATGTTACAATGATATATGCATAGCCATGTTTATAGCAGCAGAATTCATAAAAACTAGATCTTAGAACCAGCCTCTATGTTCATCAACAAATGAATGGATAGAGAATACATGGTATTTACACAAAATGGAGTACTACTCTGCCATAAAGAAAGATAAACAAGTTGTTTGTAGGAAAAATGGGTGCATTTTGAGATCATAATGTTAAATTAAATAAACCAGAAACATCAGCTTAAATATCATAGGGTTTCCTGTATATGAGCAATCCATAGCAAACATAAAGAGTAAAATTAAACAGGGATAATAAAAAGTAGGGAGACAGATGTTTCTCAAATACTAAGGGGATCAAAGGAAGGTGGGATGGGCAAGAGGGAATGTAAAGGAGATGGAAAAAAGAATTGAGATGTTTTATGTACATACACAACTCCACAAAAACATCATGTACTACAAATACATACGAATAAAAATAATTATTTTTTAAAAGTCCATCCCTCCATAGTTCATTGAATTCTGAGAAAGAAGTCAGGACAACTGAATGGGTAAAAATAGTCTTTTCAAAAAGTGATACTGGGAGAACTGGATGTTCACATGTGAAAGAGTAAAGAGGGATCATTAAATACAAATCCTAACTCAAAATAAATCAAAACTCCAAATAATAAGGGCTAAAATTAAGCAAGACTTCGAAGAAAGGCAAGGGAGCAAATTTTCATGATCCCAGATGCACAGTGGCTTCCTACAGATGAACAAAGGCGCAAGTAAAAATGAAAAATGCATGCATTGGCTGGGGATGTACCTCAGAGGTTTCATCCCCTGCAGTGCAAGCTGAAAGACCCGAGTTCGATCCCTGGTACCAAAAAAAAATATGTATGCATCGTACATCATCAGAATTGAAAATTTTAACTTCAATAGACTCTACCAGAAAAGTGAAAAGACTCCTACAAAATAGGTGAAAAAAGTTGCAAGTCACGTATCTGGTATGGGAATTGTCCCTAGAGATATAAAAATATTTTACAACATAACAAAAATAATATATCTTACAAATGACAAAAACAAATACTTCAGCTGTACTTGATCAAAGTACTTAAACACGTTTATCTTAAGAAGATATTGCACAGAATCTTTAGCACCAGGGAAATGAAAATCAAAACCACAGTGTTATACCATTTCAGGCCCACTAGGATGACTGTAATTAGAATCATGAGAAAACCAAATATTGGATGGGATGGGTTAAAGTGTCAGTTTCTTACTAAGATAAACAGAATTACATTGTAACTCAGCTGTGTCACCACTGAATATTAACCTGAAAACAGGCATTTATACACAATCTTATAACCAACTGTTGATAACACACTATTTACAATAGCCAAAACGCAAAAATATCTCAAATGTTCAACAACAGATGATAAATGGATAAACAAAATGTATTATGTACATACAATGAAATATTATTTGTCCAAAAATGAAGTTTTTAGTACATATTTAACTTGAAAATGTAGTGCTAAATAAAAACATACAGTCACAAAAGTCCTCATATTCTATGGTTCTATTTATAGGAAATGCCTAGCAAATCCAAATCCGCAGAAACAAAGAAAATCAGTGACTGCTTAGGGCAAAGGGCCTGGGAGTTGAAAGTGAAAAGGCACAATGTTTCTCAGGAGATGAAAATATTCTACAATTGACAATGTTGATGGATGCATATTTCATTGAGTGTACTAAAAATTCTGTGAATTGTTCATTTTTAACAAGTGAATTGTATGATATGTGAGTTACATCTCAATAAACTACTACAATAAAAAGAGGCAGGCAGGAAGTGGGAGGGCAAGAAACAGAAGTCTTCATACCTACTGAGAGACGCAATGGACGAAAAAGATCTAATATTAAGAGCTTCCTGGCTTTTTCCACAAATGGATCCTCTGGGTTGTTGAGGGAATCAACATTCACCCCAAATGACGTTGCAGTGATCACATCCATGCTGTAGGCCCCAAAGACTCTGAGTGGAGAAAGACGGGGAAAACAAAAGTCTGCACCTCTTCTACTACAAATTCTTCAAGCAGTGGGATAAATGATACACCAGCAAGACAAGCAGAGACCCACACACTGTCAGAACTATCTGCTAGGCCAGCTGAACACTCTGTGCTCCCCTCATGCTCACTCATGGGGTATTTATAAGGGGCCAATGATACAACTGCCCTTGTGCTTGGGGTGATTGGGACACTAGGAGACTTAGACTCTGAACTTGTGGAGCTCCATCTCAGAGATAGAGACCCACAAGCAGACACACTATAGTAGTATGTGTGGAGTGTAGAAGATACTAGAGGTGTAAGCACCATGTTTAACAGGACAAGGGGGGAATAAGACTCTTCCTAGGAGACTCAAAACCTGACACTGATCTAGATCTTGTCTCATCACAGAGCGTGCCCTGAGCTGATTTTTCTTCAGCACATCATGCAACAGCAACATGCTGTTCTGAGCAGCTAGGAACATCATCCCTCCTTCTCTACATCCCCTGTTCAATATCCTGATAGGTCTGCTCCTCCCAACTACAGGGATCTGAGGGGCCCCAAGGGCAGAAACATTTTGGTATAATGTAAAAGAACAAGAATTATACTTGTTAATTGTGGGACAGCATCCAATTGATTATACCCAAATCAGACTGTAAGCAATGCAGTCAGTCGGTAAAGAGTTAACCACACAACTGTCTTGTTTTAAGAAGTGAGTCTGACCAAAGCATATGAGATAAGACATAGCGAAGGTCACAGTGACTCTTACCGAAATTCCTTTCCAAGCCTTTAACTCAAGAATGCTTTGTCTCTTCTTTTATGAGCCTTGCCTGCATCACCAACATATCCCCAGCAACCACACATGGCCTTCTCACCCCAACCTAATGATGATTGTGTCACCAATAAATATAGACAGCTCTGGCTGTTCAGGGTCTTTGCTTGCTCAGCACTGAACATCCCAGGTTCCCATCTCTCTTTCTTTAACCCTGTCTCTAAGTCTTTCTTCTTACCATGTGTCATAGCACAGAGCAAGAGATTAGAATTTCATCAGGGGTCTCTCATAGTGAATAATACTTATATTTAGCTTATCATGACAAGTGCTCATCATCCTAGTATGTGGGAGGCTGAGGCAGAAGACTTGTGCATATAAAGCTAGCCTAGACTATACAATGAGTACAAGCATAGTCTGGACTACTTAGCAAGACTTTGTCTTTAAAAAACATAATGATAATAATAATTATTATTGTACTTCTGTAGAAAATTGATTTGGAAGATCCCAGAGGCAAGTGACCTGATGTTCCCAGTTTTAACAGTATGCTTTCTGGGATATCTGTGTATTTCAAAATGTCCCATTTACACAATCAATATGATTTGTTCCAGTACCAGGAATTGAACTCCGGACCTTGCAATTTCCAGGCAGACATGGCGCTGCTGGACTACAACACTGGCCCTTATCATACCCTTTGGAGCCCCTCCCCTTCTCATAAAAGGAAGGAGAAATGGTGTGAAGGTTTAATATTTAAAATTTTGCTGAATCTCCATAAAACCATGGAAAGGTTTAAGTTGTTCCAAGTTTCGCATGGTAATTCTTGCCCCATCCACTTACTTTCACTAAGTACCAAGCAAACTCTTCCCTGCTATTTCCCAGCATTTACACTTACATTTTTAAGATTATTCTGCTTCCTTCTAAAGTATATATTTTATTTCCTAGCAAAGCCAAAATGACAAATAAGTAGTTCAACTAATCTTGGTTCCTGTACTCAGTGGAAAACACCCATCCTCTACCAAATGCCCTGACTTCTCTTGGATCTGTCCCTTCTTGGACGGCCCACTGAAGCTCTAACACCACAACCTGCAGTAACACCTGGATCTAACACCTGGCCCTGGAGTAACTCAGCAGTGAGAATTTCAGCTTCCTGGCAGGCAGCTACATGGTCTCAGGGCAGCTGAGATGTCAAGCAAATGCACTGATACTTACTCTTTCAAGTCAACAGGCTTGCCTTTCTCTGCTCGACTTCTCAGGTTTTTGACCAACACATCTCCATACTGCTTAATGATGGGGAACATCTAAGCACAAGACACAACATTTACTGCTAAATCCATAGATTCAGGCCCCAGAAAGACAAGGCATTCTCAGTCATGAAGCAATATATGACATTTAATAATTGCGTTTATAATGGGTCTTCTACACATAAAGACAAAAGACCATTTTTACAAAGCTCCAACTCAGAGAACCACACCTTGGAAAGAGACTAGGTAGGATCTTAGTTTCTACCTGTCCCCAGACTCACTCTTAAGTTTTCAGGTAAAATTCCCTTATTTTCTTACTTCCTTGAGTTTTCCACTGGTGAAAGTTGGAGATAGCTGTGTTCGAATTCTCTTCCATTCTTCATCCTCAGATAGGGAGACGGCATTTTTCATAAATCCTACTGGACCAAGAGACTAGAGTCCAGAGAAAAAGACAGTTTATCATACTTAAGTTTACAAATCTCCACAGTTGTAGAAAATTTGTTGAACAGACATTACTTGTTTAACAAATAGTGACTCTTAGGTGGCAGGCCACATGCTAGATGTTCAATAAATATTTACCATAACTACCTTGCCTCCTGTGAGTATGCTGTACTCACCCAGGCACCTGGCATGCTCTCCAGACTTTATGTTTTAGTTGCCTTTTAAATACAATGTCTATTGTCATGGAACAATGTTCTCCCAGATGAACAGACTAGAAGAATGGGGGCATATTTATGGCACACATGTTGCAGCCAACTGTTGATCACTGGAAGCTTTAAAACAGTCACCATAAATGGACTAAGATAAGACTTCCTCCATCTTGCAAGATTGTGAGGTGTAGAAATGACTAGATTACAGATAGCAGGTAACCTTGAAAAATGGTATGATGCCTCAGATTACTCTTCAATTTATATCCATCTGCAGCAAGAACAGTGTGAAAATGGGATGCCTTGATGTGGTGAATTTTTAGCTATAAATATGAAAGATTAAGAATGATACACAATTCTTTGTCCAAGACCACAAGTAAAGAAAAATATACTTCTATTTCTAAGTTATTTTACTCATTGCTGAGACAAAATACCTGCCACCCAAAGATAAAGGAGGAATGGTTTATCTTGGCTCACAGTTTGTAGAGGTTTCACTTCATAGTTGGCTTCCTCCAAGACAGTATGGCATGGCTGAGGGGCATCGCAGAGGAGAAGCAATTTGTGGTGCACAAAAGGCAGGAAGGCACCAAAGCAGTGAAGTATTAAGCAACAAGTGACAGCAGCAGCCCTATTTCTGTCCCTTATATGCTATTCAGGCTACCCACCCTTAAGGCCAAATAGCACTCACACCCAGTGGGGGCTGTCCCATTACCCACACCCAGAACTATGCCACACCAATCTGTGGACTGATTTAGTAATCACACAACCTTAATCCCACCATCACACACTCCAGATCCAGCCACCTCTGAAAAGCCCCACCTATGGTCACACGAGGCTTTGGGGGCACATCTAGAAACAAGCCATAATAATTTCCCTACTTGAAACTATCTTCAAGCTTCCATAACCCTGTTTTGTTTTTAAATGTAATTGTTCACATTCCTATATTGTTAAAGCTCAGAAAAACAAGGGAGGGAAACTTCCTCTACTTGAGGAAGAATCTGTAGCAATGATTTCAGACAACATCACATTTAGTGGTGGAATGTGCAATCTTTCTTCCCATGAGTAGAAACAATTTTTAAAAATCTTACTCTAACACTGTCACTCAATATCATGATGGAAGTTCTAGGCAGAGAAACAAGGCAAGAAAGTAAAATAAAAGATCTTCAGATTGCAAAGAGAAAGATAAAAGTGTCGATATCTTCAACTGAGATATTTGTCAATGAGATGTCAACAATTATACAACAAAAAACCTTTTATGAATAGTAAGGTAGCTCTGCAATATTATAGGATTCAAGGTCAACACAAAATTAAATCACAGTTGTATATAACAATAATAATGTGTGAAAACAATAAGAAAGCAATACCAGTGACAAACACTGCAAAGAAAAGGAAATAAATATCTCAAGTATGAATTTAAAGAAATCTGTACAGGGTCTCTATGCTGAAAGCCACAAAATGTTGATGAAAGGAATCAAAGAAAATCCAAAGAAGTAGAGAGGCACAATGTGTTCATGGAGTAGAAGCCTTAATTTTGAAAAAAATAAACATTGCACCTACACATTTATCTATAAGTTTATTTACATCTTATCAAAATATTAAATAGATTTATGCAGACATGGACAAGATTTTTCTGAATTTGGATAGAAAGGCAAAGGGCTAAGGAGCTAAAACAATTCTGGAAAGAAAGTGGGATAAATCATTTTCCATATCATTATGACTTACTATGTTGCTACCATAAAAAACAATGTGACACTGGATAAGGGTCAGAGTGACCAAGGGAAGAAAATAGAGAAATAGACCTACACAAATAAGCCAAACTGATCTTGGACTATATGCAAGAGGAGTTCAATGGTGGGAAGACAGCTTTCCCGAAAATGGTGTTGGAACAACTGGACAGCCATAGGCAAAAAAATAAACCTTCACCTAAATCTCATACATTATTTTTAAAAACACAAAATAGATCATAAACTTAAAAGCTTAAAACTACACAACTTTTACCAACACAAATGCACACACATGCACACACACAATAGGTAAATCATTATCAGAATTGATACCAGCCACCACACCTGGCAAACTTGATACTAAAAGCACAATCCTTAAAAGAAAAATAGGTAAGATCCTGTCAAGAAAAAAGACAAGCTGTGCATCAGGACTATAGAAAGCTAGCAACAGAAAGCCTTCTAGTGAAAGAATAGTTTTCTTATATTGACAGTGCTGGCTGTTATCAAACATGTTCATGAGATGGATTTGCAGAGAGCTACACACAAACGCAAACACAAACACATACACCCAAACAAATGAGCTCATTAAATACACTCCTTGGATTGTATCAATGTCAATCTCCAATTACTCTACTAACAGGAATATGTTATATTTATGCTTATCAAACACACAGCCATTAGCAAACACAGCATGGACCTCCCTATTCATTGTTTTCACACCTTTCTGTGAGTCTATATTTCTAATTTTATTTAAATTGTGTGTTATTTTGAGACAAGGTCTTTCTCTGTAGCTTCATGCTGGATTGAACTTACTATGTAGCCCAGGCTGTCCACGAACTTGCAGCAATACTGTTTTTCAGTCTCCTGAGTGCTAGGATTACAGGCATGTGTTACCACACCTAGCACAAAATAGGAACTTAATAAATAATAAATGAAGGTTGCAATTTTTAACAATGAATGCCTACCCGCCGGTTTGTGAACGCAGAATAACATTCTTTGACTAGAACTGCTTTGATCATGTCTGGTTCTGTGATGGCCAGCACAGGCTGTTGACCATCATACAACCTGCATTTACAAAACAGAGATGATTAAACATAACAAACCAGATTCTACATCTGAAACTTTGCCAGGAATCTAGATTTTGATCCTGATGTTATATAAGATATACCCATAATAGTAAAATGCACAGCAACATCAGCTCCTAATTCAAGTTAGGGATTCTGACTATAGAAGATACTAGAGTTTTCACAAAATGTAAGATTATGTGGCTCAAGCAAGGAAGAGACAACACACAAAATATCTCTTCAAAGGGATCATAATTAGAAATAAAACTGGATCTGATTATGCAGCGTCTACGCGATATGAACATGAGTACTGCCTATAAAATTCTCTGAAATGTTTTGTATGTTTACAATATTTCAATATCTGTGCTGGGGACATAGCTCCGTGATAGAGTGCCTGCCTAGTATACAGAAAGCCCTAAATAACCCCTAACAACACAAAAATTAAAAATAAAAACTCAATAGAGTATTTAAATGTCAAAAATATATTACATCAGTGAAAAAGTCAAATGATCCAGTGCTCAGGAGTACTAAATGTTCCAAGGGGAAATTGGGGTCAGAGCACTGGAGAACCAGCACTCTCTGTTCTTGCCATTGGATCACATTGTCTTTAGGGGCCATGTCAAATCAGTAGACCCCTGGGGCCAGCAATGTGGTTCCTAAGGACTGATGAGACAGGACAAAGAGGTAGGGAGAGCCAAAGCTTTCTCCCACCTGCTTGTGGCCCAAAGCCCATGATTACATCTCCCACTGCTCTCCAAACCTCCAGCGGCTGTGAAAGGGAATAGCTGCCGCAGGTGGCCCAGATCTCCCTACAAAGTCAAAAAGAATGTAGCCCATGGGGGAACGTAGTGGTGTAAATGTATGCTACACTACTTTGCCAAAGCCAGAAAAATAAAGTAGACCATGAAATACCTGCATAGAGGTCTATTAAAAAGTTTTGACTTGAAATCAAAAATTAAGAAAGCAAACAGAAAATCTCTACACTTACAGAAGTTTTAAAAGGCTGAGCAAAATTTCCCAATTTGTTTATCTATATCTCTCAGTTTATCTCTCAAAAGCACATATTAAATTTCAAACTACTACAAGGATATAGGAGTTTGGGCTTTTAAATATATATGTGTGTGTGTGTGTGTGTGTGTATGTATACATGGAAAGGAGATGCAATCGTACATTTAAGATCACATATTAGAAGGTGCTGAATCAGTACATTTTATGCAATTAAAGAGAACCTAAGAAAGGGACAGAAAGTAAAGGAAGGAGTCTCTGGGCCATCAAAGCATGGAGAAAAGGCATGATATGCAACATTCTCGACCTAATTCCAACTATGGACGTTGACCCCTAGTGACCTAGGGAACCACTGGCAGGATTAATCTGCAAAAGCTTCACAGTTCACAACCAAAAATCCCAAGAGCTCCAGGCTAACATTGTCCTCGTCTACTGAGTGCCTCATTCTCACATGTGCACCCATTGGAAATTTCTGGAATACTCACCCCCACATCTTTCCATACTTTTTATAGCATTCTGTATCAAATTTCCATATACCCTGAGAAGAGAAAAAAATGAAAATCCATTATTGTTCTACATGTACTGGCCCTATGTCTAACTGGGGCACAGATGACTCAAAGCCCATGAAATCGAGCTTACTATCTCTCACTGAAGATAAAAAGAAGCTCATATTCACAGACATCTCAGAGGAAATATTGAGGGCCATAAAGCCATTCTTGAGTTTCTTAGAGCATTGAACATATTGAAAGAATTCTCCTTGACTATGAATACTAAGAAACTACATGTCTTTCTGTGAATTTTTGTTTGTGCATTGTCTCCAACATTCTGTAAACCTCCGAATTATTCCCTTTCACGAGCACATGAGAAAACTTAGCCTGAGGAAAAGTGGGCATGTCTCCATGGGTTGTGCACATTCCTTTACTGCCTTCATCATCAGCTCTTCATTGTTCTCACAAGCACTGCTGATAAATTCTGGTCAAATTAGGAAGTTAAATGCACCAGGGACCACTTTAGTCTACAGGATGTATGGAATTCTCAGGGATGTTGTTGAGTGAGAAAGTGAGCAGGTGAGGAATGACAAAGTGCTCTTCCTGCCAACACTCCAATTCAACTCAGAAAGATGGAGAAATGACACCTCTACTCATAGGCATAGCAAATTAAATCTTTCCTCTATGTTTTCACCTTTGAAACTTTAAAACCAATTTTCCGGATGTTAAGTTGCAGTTGTGAATGTTAACTATGCAAAAGTAGATCCCAGAAACAAGGATCCAGGGGATATGTACTAAAGAGTGCAACTGACAGATGAAGAGGAAATTTTCTTTTGCATTGGAGGGAAACAGTATGAATCTTCAAGCCATTATGAGAAAATGAAACCCTCAGTTGCAAATATTAGAATCCAAAATAAGTGTGGAATCCTCAGGAAAAGAAATCTGAATAGAGAGCATACTTCACACTGGTTTTAGTACTGGTCTTTGGAACACGAGCTCAAGAATATCCCTCAAGGGGCCAGACCCTGGACCAAGACTCAGGCCAGGTTTGTTACAAGGCTCAGACAAAATTCACATTGCATATTACATTATATTCGGTTTAACTGAATTTTTAGTATATTTTTAAACTCATCCTTTCTCTAGTGATTTTGTAAAGTGATTCTGTCTTTGTTTACCAAAGCAAAACTCATTATGTAGTTCAATAAAACAAGTTGATAGACAGACAGTCCCATTCTGCTTCAGATATGCTCACATTCTCTATTCAGATTCATCCATTTGGTGCTAACTTGAAGGAAAAGAAGCACAGGAGAATGCTCTCATTCTATCTCATTCTATTCTTAATTCCTGAAACGATGTCATGGGTATCAGGAGCTATGAGCTATGAAAATAAGTACAGAGGACTGGATAGTGCCTGAGACACCTGGAGAATGTGTGAATCCCCAAGGCAGAACACGTGGGCCATCTAATAAAATGAACACTGAGAGCTATCCATGAGGAAGAAGAATCAAAGCTGCTCATGAGCTCTGGAGTGAACAGGAAAGCTTGAATCTAAATGTGCACAGGCTGATGAACTCCTCCTAGGGAATCCTATCATGCTTTTCTCCAAATACTGACAAATAACATCCTCTTAACTCATCTAACCTCATCTAACCTCCTAACCTATCTCCTGTTTATCCAGTGTTGACATGCCAGAGATCTGTGCTGTGGAACTGAGGCAAAGCTGAGGCTTCAGACAGTTGAAAACAGAGACCCAGGGAAACCTGGCCCTGCTGTGGGTAGGACCCAGACACAGTTTCTGAACATCTAAAATTTCAGTACATTCCTCTAAGGAACAGCACTTTTACTTATGAAACAAGGGCAGTGTTGGTCAAAGAAGGACATCAAACAACACTCACCTTTCTGTAGGCCAAAAGAGTTCCAAAGAAAGGCAGAGGTTTAGGCCCAGGAATTCCAAGCTTCTTAAAAAGTCCATGGTGATAGGTCCCATATCTATAAAGTGAAAAAGAAACCATGGTCATAGGGATTGTGACTTGAAATATATTGGAGCTTACCAATCACTAATTCAGGAACTGGAACAGTCAAGGCACAGGAGGTAGTAGGCTATATATAACAGCAAAAGTGCAAACAGCAACAAATACATTCACTCACCATCTCCTTCCTCACTGTCACTGGCAGTCTTCTTAAATTCACAATGATTAACTAAAATCAGCTGAACTCTTTATTCTCCCAATCTTACTTGATAAACCTCTCAAATTTGAGTCTTCCTAAGACATTCAGGCTGGAATGTTTTCAGGGCATTTCATTTGCTTTGGTCAGTATTGGAGACTGCTTCCTCCAGGAAGTGGGGGGACTCTCATTGTAGTAGGAAGACTGAGGAGTTCCTTTTCCTCTAGTGATAAAATTTTGTGCAACTGCAACTGCTCAGTAATAAAGTCATGGAGACCCTGTGGTGACATTCTTCTTACAGTTTCTTCAGAGGCTTTCATGTTTCTCCTTCCCTCTAAGCCACATCCCTGTTTTGTACAATCTAGTCCTTCTTAAGTTTGCTTTCCCAGAAAGCCCTGGGAGCAGTCAGCTTTTTTAAAGAGTCCCAAATGTTCCCAAAGTCACACTGTGCAGAAGAATGAGTCACTGAAGAATCCATGTCTGGGATGTTCCACTCCCCATGGAATTTAAGCCTCCAATTCGTGACACTCGCATGGGAAGCACAATGTTAGCCATGCTCATATTTAACAATAATATCAGCATACTGCCTCTGTACATTGACTATCCGTGTACAAACAATATCTATTATGGCTGTTATTCCCTAGGGGAGGCATGCCTTCAACTCATCTTAGATATGTCATGTGTGGACTCTCACACCTGGGGGTAATAGACCTGCAGACCTTCCCACATTGCTGTGAATGACAAGTGGCAGACTTCAGAAAGAAAGGAAGCTGAGGAAAGAGGCTGCTGGCAAACATTTTAAGATTTTAGCTGCTAGTCCTAAAAACTAAACCCCATGGCAACAAATTGGGAAAGTATGGATAAAAGTGTCATATGTACAAGTAATCGATGAGCCTCGAAGGAACTTCAGCTACAAGAGAGGGGGCCTTCCAAAGTTAAGCAAACTTCCTGTTCATAAATGCATTCTGCAACATAAATTAAGAAACCATAACATGTTCCAGGTAGTTGAATTGGTTCCTCTTATCTAAGGGTGAGGCTTTAAGGCAGTATAGGTTTCAACATCTTGTACAAATCTAATTAATGCTATAAAATCATAAAATGAAAATCAAAACTTGCATGAAAGGATCTGTGTTTGTAGCACTTATCAGGGACACATCAGCAAAGCCATGGCAAGGATTAAGATTATTCCCCAATTATTAGTTATTAATCCTTTTAGTCCTTATTTACACTCTCAGTTTCTCACACTGGAGAAACTATTTGGTATTTACACGTGTGTCCTATTTATTTCACTTAAGAGTATTGCCTCAATATGCATCCATTTAGCTATAAATGACTCTAGTTTCTCGTTCTTTATGGCTGAGTAGTACTCCATTTTATTAAAAAAACACATCTTCTTTATCCAGTTTCCAGTTGATGGGTACTTGGGCTGTTTCCAAGCTTTAGCTATTACAAACTGTGCCTCAATAAACATGGGTACACATATATCTCTGTGGTATGATTCTTTTAATTCTTTTGGGAAGATATCCAGCAGGGAAATAGCTGGGTCAAATGGGACCTCCAGCCCTAGTTCTTTGAGGTATCTCCACACTGATTTCCATAGTGGTTGCACCCGTCTGCACTCCCACCAACAATGGAGAAGGGTTCCTTTCTCTGCACAGCCCCACCAGCATTTGTTATTGGTTGATTGATACTTTGAAATAGGAAAAGGTCCAAAGGGGTAGGGGTGGTTGGAGGGGAAGGGGAAAGGAAAGAATGGAAAGGAAAAATTATGAGAAAAGAAAAATAAATGGAAATGAAGTGTGTAAATAGGGAAGGGTTTAGGGGTGAAGGGCTCACAGGTAATGGGGAAAAAATAAGAACCATGATACATCATGTACAGGTACAAGCACCCAATGATAAATGTAAATGTATTGTATACCTAAAATGTACCAATAAGAGAATTTAAGGAAAAAAAGTGGTTAAAAAATATTATTCCCCAAGATCCAAATGTGCTCTGCTCTTAAATTTTGTCTTTTAGGGATAAACAAATCCATGCACCATGGGGTGGAGGAGTTTAGTTTTAGGAGGGATGACACTTTCAGGAAAAGGTCCCAGAAAAGAAGAAAGTATGGAGTTGAGCCTCCCATGAAACCTGGGGTATACTGAAGAGCCTTGTGTGAAGCATGCTAGGGGTATTTGGAGGGAGCACGAAATACCCTTGTCCTTAGGGGACAAGTCTTCCACACATCTCTCTCAGAAGAAAGAACATAGAAGGCAAAGAATATGAAACACAATCCAAACCAACACAGCTACCCCAGAATTCCCAAAGCTGGGGAAGGGGATGCAGTTCCTATTGCATATGCTGAACAATTGTTCATAATCTGTCTCTGCTGAATTCTGGTGCATTAGTCTAAGTTCAAAATATCAATCAGATCATCCTCAGAGAAAACAATCATGTCAACTATTCTCCTAGCCAGAGGAATACAGAGTTACAACAGGAGAGAGTGAGATGCTCAAGGTACCTGTACAAGGTAAGTAGGAACCTATTCTATGTTGTAGCAATTTTCTTTCCATTATCTCTTTTGATCATGCAACCATAAAAGGGAAACACAGGCCTGACCATACCCCAAAACCAGAGACATACAGGAGAGGAGCTTGGAAAGTTACTCACTGATACAGAAGCACCAGGCTGAGAGCCAAGAGAACCCAGGTTTCCACCGAGAAGTTTAGGATCAAGTCCATTTCCTTCTGCAATTCTCTCCTCTGAGTTTCCCTTCCAGGTGATTTCAAGGCTGTGACTTCAGAGCTTCAATTGGGTGCCCAGCACAGATTTGGTGAGGATAGCATGAATTATTTATGTGCGGGAAAAGGTGGTGGAGCCAAAGCAGCAGCCAGTTGAAAGGCCAGCTGCAAATCACCTGCAGTTGGGAGGAGAGAGATGCCCTTTCCAGCTTGGCACTTGTCAACCCATCATGCACATTCTGACTTTGACCTCCTTTGAGTTCATATTCTGTGAGAAATCATTACAACTCAATCAATATTATCTGCAAGTCCAAAGATTGTTTATTCTTATCAGGAATGTAAGCCATTGGCATGAAATTTCCTCCACGTCCCCTTCCTGTAGTAGTCTTCGTGCCTACTACGGCCATTCTGAAGTACATAAAATTGATTCAAACAAGGCACATCTGTAGATTTTCACACATCCAGGTGCCTAGTCTGTGCTTCTGTCCCATAGAAAACTCTTAATACTCCTTTAAAATTCAAGAAGATCACCAGTTGAAATTTAGCTTGGGCCACTTAGCAACGTAGGAAGACCCTGTCTCAAAATTTAAACAAATGACTGGGGATATAACTCAGAGTGAATGCCTTGAGTTCAACCCCCAGTACTGAAAGAAAACATCAAGATCACACAATTCCTTCTAATAGGGTCTTCGCGAACCACTTTCATTGCACAAATTCTGTCTGCTTTACACACATCTGTTACTTTGTTTACTGCATTCATCACCATTGGTGGTTTACAGAATCTTTCCATCACCAGGTTGAGAAATTGTCAAGGGAATAGTCTGGGTATCATTCATTCTTCTGTTCCTGGTCCCTAGTAGAGTATTTTACACAGAGAGGGCATCCTGACAAGGTGAGTTGAACGAGGAGATCAATGGGCCTCTACATGAACTTTCCTGTAATCTTTGGGTAACACTTCATCTCCCTGGATTGTTCATACAACAGAATGAACCACCTGTGACTCAGCCACCATTACTGAAAGTTTAAGATGACCTGTAAAATTATGTGGAGAACAGGGCCTTTAATGGAGAACCATGACATGGATGAGATGGCGCTTATGATTACACTGAGTAGTATCAAATTATTCCACTCTTCAGGTGGCCCCTCAAAGGGGCCTGCCACAGACAGCATATTAGCCATATTCCGGATCAATGGCACAATCTCTCTGGATAACTCCATGTCCAAGATCAATGGATATGAGAGAGAAGAACAGCCTGAATTGCCAGGTGGATCCCAAACCCCTTAGCCACCTCAGCAGAAGTCACTAGAGGCAGGATATACCATGCAGGACTCCAAACAGATGATTCCAGCTATTAAGGGAGTGGACAACAGGAGCCAGAGCAGATGGCTTTTTGGTGAATGACTACTTGAATGGGTGAAGTGGAGAACTTGAAAGATGAGGAAGAGGACACTTATAATAGCATTGACTGTCACCTGTGAGCCCCCACGGCACTTCTGACTGGAGAGGCCAGAGGACTGAGTGCTTGGAAATTACACAGACTCCTTATCATCACTCTTACTCATGTTCCACGTCTTCTTGGGATGAGCAACTGAAGATTCCATGATCAAAATGAAGACCTCAAAGTTCTTAAACTCACCATAAATAGAAGACACCTAAGTTGAGCTTGTGCACATCTGTTTCTCTATATTGTTTCTGCCTGTCAGCCCTTCTTCAGAGACTGACACTCAGTCCTCATCTACTCCCCTCATCATTCTGCCTTGTCTTTAGAGCAACCTGACATGAGCCTGAATAGGTGGATATCTCGTGGGTAAAATGTATTGTCACAACCATCTCGCCTGCCTCCTTTACTTAGTTAAGAGCTAGTTGAAAACAGGAAAGATGAGAATATCAGCCCATAGCTGTGGACAATTTCATTAACTCCCTAAACCCAAGCCTTCCTCATTCTTTTTTGGAAACTAACTCCCTGTGGAAACTCATACCTTTTGACTTCCCTCCAAAACACATATTTTCTAAGATCATGTTATACCTAGAGTTAATATGACCTTCCACCTCCCATTCTTATCTCAGCCCTGTTCAGTGTGCTTGAAATCTGTGTCAACAGGAAGAAAAAGGCTAGTTAGTCATTGCTTGGGGCTAAAATGTAGCCAGCACCATACTTTTGCCAATGCAAAGTGTCTTGTTCTGCAATGGAGATGTGAAACAAGGCAGGTTCTTTGAGCCATTCAATGCATACAAGTGACATCTCCTAACATAAAGAGCCTTACACATGAAGTTATGTGGAACACATGAAGAAGACAGACACCCCTTGTCTCCCACTGACTCATTCATGTATTGAGGCACTCACCATGCAATTTTAAAGCTCTGCTCTAAGTACAGTGCATACAAAGATGACTAAGACACAGATATTATTCTACTTGAAAATACAGATAACGATAGTCAAGTAAAAGTAATCAGACAGGCATGATAAGTGTTTTATCAACACTGAAGAGCTGAGTTGCTTTCTCAGCATCCTTTACAATAGACCAAAGCTGAACCTCAAACAACATTTAGAGAAGCATAGGCTCACATATCTGGAAGAGTGGACAGGTTGCCTGGGGACCCAGTGATGGAAAGACTGCCATCAACTGACACTTCTGATCATTTGTGTTGTGAGCCCAAGTGATACCTCTTCTAGAACCTCTGCCCTCATCTGGGAATTTTTGAGCATTAGATTCAAATTTTGCAATTCACAACCTCAGCTATTAAAAAAGAAAAAAAATAAAAGCAAGGTATTTGTCTAATTCAGCTTTCATGTTCCCATTCTTCTCAGTGGGGCCAAACATGTTTTTTGGGGATGCAGGTCATATCTATGATTTGATGGTTCAGGAAAGGCAGTAGCCAACTCTTCTGGGTCTCCTGGCTGGAATAGTGAGAAGAATCTTAGATCTGGAGACATTCTTTCAGGATTGGAGAGGGTGGGTGTCTTATTCAATGCCATTGGATGTCAGCAGAGCTTTATGTCTGCTGTGTTCAGGACATGTATAAAGTATTACATTTATAAGGGTCAGAATCTCGGCCCTCATGCAATTTGTACTTATTAGGGAAAAGACACTAAAAAACAATCACACATCTCTAAAGATATAAAAGAAGATGGGGGATGTGAAAATGGTTAAGGAAATGAGAAAATATGTTTTATATATATGTACCAGTTTCTCCAAATGAACACCACTATAATAGATTCATGAACTAATTAAAAAAACAAATAAAAATACCACACAAATAAATACTGAATTACAAATTTGGATAAATTCTGTGAAGTACAAGAATCCTCTACTTGAAGTGCCCAGCTTGCTGCTTTGACACACGACCCTTCATTCTTCCCTTCAACTCTGGACTTCTTTGAAAGATATGAAGATAACAGAATGAACAGGACTTGGTGGATGGGGAATTTGCAGCCTTGGGAATGCCTGGGCCTTGTGCTTTATCTGACACTGACAGAAATTGGCCAGAATTGATCTAAGAGGACCAAAGTTCCCATTATCCAAATCACAGGACCCCATCAAAACTGCCAGCCTCTCTCAGACTCATATATCCTTCTAAGATTTTCTGAGACACCCTCTCCTTGTTCTTCTCCTTATCTCACCTATCACTTTGGATCTCCTGGGTTCTCTAGCTCAGCCAGGAACCAAGAGCTCCTGAGGGCAGAAGGGAACACAACGCTAAGACACACTGGATGTGGGAGAAAACATTCACTATGGAGACGCTGAGCTTTACCATCCTGTGAACTTTACCCACATTAGCTGATATAGTACCTATCCTATGAGATAGGTAATAATTTTTATTATTATTTATATATTAATTGGTACATTTTAGGTATACAATTCATTTACATTTATCATTGGGTGTTTGTACCTGAACATGAT